TTGTTACTAGTAGCTTCTTGTTTCTAATAGCTTCTTGTTACTACTAGTAAGGCACTTGTTACTAGAAGCGATGCACTTGTTCCTAGTAGCTTCTTGTTCTTAGTAGTAAGGCCAGGAGCCCCTAGTAGCTTCTTGTTACTACTAGTAAGGCACTTGTTACTACTAGCGTGGCACTTGTTCCTACTGTCCACTTGTGCTCGTACTTCAAAGGTCTTCTAGGCTTCTCCTCGATAGGTATTTTGCTGCATTTGCCTCATTCATTTCATGCCGTTGCATGCCATCCGGATCATCCTGTTCAATGAAGCATCCATTCAAGATGAGTCGCTCTTTAGGAGCTCCAGCATCCGTGTTTATCTTCTTCTTATCCGGTCCATGTTGTTCTTCTCTACTTCTGTCATTCGTTTCTCAACTTCTCCTACTCTCACTCTCCCTCACTCACTCCCTCACTCACTCCCTCACTCACTCCCTCACTCACTCACTCACGCACGCACCCACCCACCGACCCACTCACGCACTCACTTCACTTCACTTCACTCCGCTCCACTCCACCCCACTCTCCACTCTCCACTCTCCACTCTCCACTCTCCACTCCACTCCTCACTCCGCTCACTCCCCTCTCACTCCCCACACTCCCCTCCACACTCCCCTCCACACTCACTCCACACTCACTCCCTCCACTCCCTCCCTCCACTCCCTGTGTCTCTCTGTGTCTCTCTGTGTCTCTCTGTGTCTCTCTGTGTGTCTCTCTCTCTCTCTCTCTTCGACAGATGTCGCCCTCTTCTTCATACTTATCTTTCTCTTCCGCTCCAACTTCTGTCTCCCCATTCGCTGTCCCCCCAAAGGTTTGTAATCTGTTGTAGTGATGTCTTTGCGGCTTTCAATCCGCAACAGCTTTCCATCTTTTATGACAAACTGTCTTGCACTCGATGAATCTATGAAGATGTAGTGGTTCACCTTGGTTCCCAACGCAAACTCCAGAACTGCTCGAATGTAGATCCCATCTGAAACTGCTGAAATCATAGCACGTAGCTCGGCCTCACAGGATGAGAGGCTAACCACCTTTTGAGTTTTGCCGTTGAAAAGTGGGCAACCATTGATTGCATGGAATGCCCGTGAGGTAGATCTTCGATGTTTTTTGTTTCCGCTCCAGTCTGAATCTGAAAACGTTTCCAAACACCAATGGCACTCTCCCTTCTTCACATACCGTTCTCCAGCTTGAGGAAATCTCATCCCCAAGCAATAGTCAACTGTCGACTTCAAGTGTCCAATAAATTCTATCAGATGATGAAGTGCTTTCATTGCTGGATTTGCCATCTTGCCTGCTAGTTCCATGACCGTAAGGCAACATCGTACCTTTCTTGGCAGAGATACAGCAATGCCCCTGTAGACCGTTGTCATGTTGGGATCTGTCAATGTCTCTGATTTGTCCTCTAGCTGTATTGAATTGTCTGGTGGAAGTTGCCGTGCTTTGAACTTACCGACTTCGTCTTCATAGAGCTTTGTCGTTTGCTGCATGTAGTTGCCTGGTTGTATCCACAACCCCTCATTGGTCAACCTGTACTTTCTCCTCAAAAAGCTTATCCAGCCTTCTCAATCTTGTTCACACTCGTGTCGAAATGCTTCTGAATTGTAGGCAGGAAAACGTTGTCGATGTAGTTCGAGGAGCCTGTGAATATCAAGTCATCAGCGTGAATCAACATGACACACTCTTCAACCTTTCCCAGCCATGGACACTCTCAGGCTGTGGGAATAGGCTTCCTTCTCTGCCCCACTGTCTCCCTCTAAGGCCTTGGCAATCACCAGCTCTGCATCTTCGTCTCACGCTTTTTGGTGGCGATGATCTTCGCTCCAAAAATGGTCCGGAAGATCCTACTCCTGATTTGTTCTCCTGATGCACTTGCTCAGCACTATTTGTGTTCCATTTGTCAAGATGTAGGTGTCTTGGCTTTCAACCTTTCCCAAGAAGAGGCACAAGTGCCATCGAGCTTCACCTTTTGCTTCTAATGTAGCCATGGACTGGTTCTCCATATTGTACCACAAGTTTCTTGTATTGTTTTCCATACACCAATTTGCCGGGCTCCCTGCACCGGCTGAAATCTATTCAACACCCAACTGGCATGCCTCCCAGTCCATGCCCACAGAGCATGATCTGATTCCGATGCCCAAGCGGGACTGAAGTCCTTCAATGAAGCTTGCTGTAAGCGTTCGACCTCAAACTCCACTGCGTTCTCTGACAGAAACGACTGGACACCCAACTTCGTAGGATTCCTTGTAGGCCCAAGACTGTGCCTGGCATTGATCAGGAGTTTGAGGATCTGTCGTGTTGTGGGCTCATTGTCACTCCGGTATGTGATGATTGGATAGCCCAAAGTCTGACTGAAGCTCATCAACTCCTGTACTATCAACCTGAACTGGTTCTTGTTGCTGATGGCGACCAACCAACCCACTGCTCTTGCCGTCTTCGTTTCTAAATATCTTACCCTCGTATGGCAGAAATCTAGACTTACCTCTGGAATTGCACTTCATCGACTGCCCTCATTTCTGCCTGTCTGAACATGCTCGATGTTGAATGCACTCCTGGCACCAGTTGGCATACGGCACATGAGTCAATCGATGTCGAGCTTGTGTGGCCTCGTCTGGTGTCTTGGCTACGGCTTGTCCAACTGCCTCTCTGGTTTCGATCTTGCTCACGCATCAAGATTTTGGCATTAAGCAGCTCCATCTTCCGGTTGTGATTGACAATCCTAGTGTAGACCTTGATGTTGGAGCCACTGCTAGAGATTCCCAAGAAGGTACCACTGCTTCCACTGGTGGACTTGGGGCCAAGTCCTCCACTGCTTTCTCGATCACCTTCTCTCGGCCTTCCTTTGCTTCCAACCTCTCGTAGCCTTCTGCAAAGAGTCCCATGTCTGGTGGTGCCAGCTCATAGCTGAAGGTTGTCATGGAAGGAACAACCGTCTTTTCCTCAAAGTAGAGTTCGTCTAGCTCCTCTTTCCGCATCATCTCTTCACAATACTCCACCATGACCCACTTCTTTCCTTTCCTGATGATTGTCGTTCTCATCAGGTTGGGCGAATCCTCAATCTCTGGAATGAAGGTTGGATCGACAAACCTTGATGTCAAGAGACTTCCAACCAACATTCCGTGCTTGTTGAACTTCCAACCTGCACTCTGCTCTAGAGCCTCCGGCACTTGAACCTCCAAGCAATCCTCATCATTGTCCTTGATCACTCTGACTCTGCCATGAACGACCAATGACTTGTTCTGCAAATGGAGTGGAACTTGAAGATCTCCATTCTCCAAAAGCTGTTCTCTCCCGTTGATTCCCCATCCATGCTCCAAAAGGCGTCCATAGCACAAGATGGGTTGGCTCGCCTTCGAACTGAAGATCGCACTTTCTCTAAGGATGACCTCCTTGCTCTTCATTCCTCCTGTAGGGATCCTATTCTCCTGAGCATTTTGAAGCCTCGTCTTAGAATCCAAGTTCAGCTCTCCTGTCCCAAACTCAGCGCCACATCAGCGCCACTGTCAATGTCTGCTTGTGTCATGCACTTGTCTTACTTTCCACAACTCTTCAAAGCAACTTGAGAAGTGATCACCTTTCTCACATGCCCCCTCTTTCTTCATCAAAGTCCTCAAGGACTCGAATTCTGTGAAACTCCTCAATCTCACTTTTCGTAGTGCTTTTCATGGAGGTCAAAAACCGCTGGCTCATTCTCTGCAATCCTGTAGTCTTTGTCTCTGTTGATGAGGGCGGCACTGACGCGTCGAGCTGTGCACTTGCGCCAACAGTGCTTGGCGCCTTTGCCATATGCCCCGGGCCATACCACATGTATAGCAAACCCCAACTCGTTTGCCCTTCTGGTCTTTCCCTTTGCCTTGGCCGTTGGTGTTACCCTCTGTGCCTTTCTGCTGATCTCCCTTTCCTTTCTTTCCCTTACCTTTGGGATCCTTTCCTTTGCCCTTCTGACCATCGCCTTGTCCTTTTTTGCCTTTGCCTTTGCCTTCCACACGGTCAACATCCATCGCCATAGGGCCCTGCTAGTCACCGCTGCTGCTACTTGCCACTATCGAAACACCCCACTTCTGTTGGGTTCTGTTCCATTGCAAGACATGTTCCCTCAACTTGGAATACTGCACTGTATCTCCAATGGTCAGATTTCAAACAAATACGACTTTAGCTGTCCTCGAACACACCGCAGAAGAATGGCTGTTTTGAACTCCTTTTGAATTGCCGTGCCTGCCTTGACCGTCTCCTCAAACACTTCCTCAAGCCTTTACAACTGTGGCTGCAGTATTCATCAAGAATGCAGGCCATGTTGTAGCGGCTCCCAACAAAGCAAGTCCTCTAGCCTTGGATGTTGGGTCTTGTTCCACTGTCTCCAGGCATCAGATCCGTTTGAATCCTCAACCGACTTCACAACTTGCAATGCTCGACCACACATCAACGAAGCAAACCATCCAGATTTATAGCTCTTGTGTTTTCTGCAGCTTCTGCCAAGTCCGTGTCGAAGGAATCATTTGGCTTCTCATAGATTTCCTTCAAGTCTTGAATGAATCCCTCATCTATGGAGGTCAGACATTTCTCAAAAACCCATGACCACTCTCGAAAGGCTTTGATTTCCTCTTCCTGGTTCTTATGTTCTTGAAATCAAACACATTGGGCTTTGTCAACAGTTTCGGCCAGTCTGCATTTGGACTCTTCTTTTCATCCTAACTGCATCCGCTGCCTCTGCTGCTGCCTGAGTCGACTTTGCAACTTTTTCAAGGACTTCTCTCAACTCTTCCATGCTCTGTTCCAGACCTTGCCTCAATGAGTGCACCTAGTCCACTGCAGTTGTGTTATTGGGCTCTTCTCTATTGTTCCCTGTCAATCGTTGTCCACTCAACTCTCCGCTCACCAAGCAATGTACAATGTTGTACAACCAATACAACTCAACCGGCAGCTATGGCTCACTCTAAGGAGAATCCCTAGTATGAAAAGGGCCTTTGTTCGTTATCCTGATCCCTTCTCCGCTACCATGCGTTCTTTTCTTGAACAAAGGGCTCACGAAGTGCATATCTACACATGTATGGTCATGAGAAATGTACCTTTGTTAGGTACTGACATCAATATCCAACAACTGTCTCTTTTCCACCACCTCAAAACCAACGCACACGAGGGCCGACCTCAGGTGGAGGGGTACAGAGTTGGCACAACTTTTCTCGAAGGTCCCATGCCCTGTGGAGTTCAGTGACCAGTTCGACCCACGACAACTGATGCTTCTTCACCCCCAACAGCGTGTAACACGGTGTCCGTTGTAAGACAGAGTGTCGCACCCGTCGCACCGAGCGAGATCGCTTCGCCCCCCCGGTGCCGCTGTGGAGTTCCGGTGCCGCTTGGCAGCCCGGCCCAGGTCCTCAAGAAGTCCATTGCTGTGAGCGCCATGGGTTCGGTCTCCAGCGTGAAGGAGCAGCCTGAGGAGGTGGAGCAGCGCAGGTCGACTGCGCAGGTCATGCAGACTGCGCTGCATGGACCACGTGGCGTTTCGGGAACGAGACCGGGATTTCCTTTCGGAAAAAACCATAGGCGCTGGTCACTCAAGGTCACTCTTTGGCAAGATGACCGAAGTGGATCTGAGAAGCAGGGGATTTTGTTGATCTGGTGGTTGAGGTATGAGATTGACTACTCCCTTTGCTTACTTCACTTGATTACTTACTTACCTATATATACTTACTGACTTGCATTCTGAATTTACGTACGTACGCACGTACGCATGTATTTACTGACTGACTGACTTAGATGCTTACTTACCTACCTGCCTGCCTGCCTGCCTCCCTCCCTCCCTCCCTACCTACCTACCTACCTACCTACGTATTTACTTACTTCGTTGCTTACTTACTTACTTACCTATCAGTGGCATGGAGCGAGATCCAAACTTGGATATTGCATAAGCCAAGCATCAACTGTTCAGGTTCTCAGGGCCATTGAGAAGGAACGCATGATTGATGCCATCAAGGTCCTGGATTCGATGTGGTTTTCATCGCTTGTGGGCGCGGTGAGTCGCAGGTGAGTCGCAGGTGAGTCGCAAGTGTCGCAGGTTCAAAGTGTAGAGGCAGAATGGACACCTTTCCAAGAGTTGCCATCCTGACTTAGAGCTGGGAGCAATTGTTGTTTTTCTCCAATCTTTGATCGCCTGACCTTTTTGATGATGCAACAAACCGAAACATGGAGGCTTCAGTGACTCAGATTGGCAGTATAATTGATGCTTTTGTTTTGTGACACGTCTACTTGAGGAGGAGGAGGATGACGATGTGGCAGCAATCTCAGTGTTTGGTCGGTTTCGGTAGGACACTCGATCTGGCCAGAGCGTTTGACGCTGCTGTTCTGGTGCAGACTGACACAAAGCTGCAGGCAGCGCATTAGATGAGACTTGATTCCTGGATCAGGATGTGACTGCAGAGGCTGATGCAGAGCAGCGCACCGCAACTGCTTTGCAGGCTCTCAACTTACGAGGTTGTTTTTGCCTTCAATGAATTTCATTTAAATGTTGAACATTTGCGTTGGACCTGTGTTCTGATTCGTAATTCGTTTGACACCACGAACAATTCTGGAAGAAGACTTGTCACCTCATCAGGAAGGAATTGATGCCGTTACCGCCATTGACGAGCCGGCGAAGATGGATTCTGGCGGAGTTCTTGCGCTGAACAAGCTGCGCATCGGTTCCAAGGCTGCAACCGGAGGCAAAGGATTCCCGACACAATCAAAGCAGGATAAAGACAACCTCAGACAACCTCACCTTACCCCTTTATACGACGGAGATTTGGCAGGGTGTTTTGGACTTGCTTGTGACTTGTTCATGATTGAATTCAATCGATGAGATACGGAGATCGGCACACTATCAGATCAAAATCATCATATGTAAGTTCCAGGCCAAGCCATTTGCATCTTGTACTTTCTGTTCCAGTTGAAGCCAATGATTGAGGCTGCATTCGCTGTGCTGGTGAAGAGGATGTTTTTACACAGGAGGTGGAGAATGCCCCCAACGTGCCCAAAGCATGCTTGAAAGTCGGCTACTTGACCGTACATCGTGCACATCAAATTAGCTAAACACTGAGTTCTTGCCTGAAGACATCCAGATGCTCAAAGCCACGCTCAACCTTGGAGACACAACTGACAAGCTCACCAACACCCCCGGTTTTTTGAAACCCACCCTGTTGAAGCTGGCCCTGCAAGTGATTGAAAGGTATTTAGTTTTCTCTTCACACTGGCCAAGCACAAGCCGGAGACCATCAACGGCGTTGCCGAGGCCCAATTTTTAGTCAGTTCTGGAGGGGCGTTTTGTCGGCGAACCGTTTTGGATTGGCGAGTTAATGTGAGTTACTTTGTTTAGATATCCACTGGTGCACCGGCCTACTCACGCTGCCATGCACATTCATGGATCAGGATTTCTCATAGCCAGGAAGTGATATTTGTTCTACCCAAGCACACGAATCCGAAGACCTATAGGTCTTCAAGATTCGGCCGCATGACCTAAGGACCAAAGCATCAATGCATCGATTTGGCGTTTCCTTTTGGATGTGAGGTTGATCCAGTTTAGGCGCTGGTGATAGGTGTGGCTTTGCACTGACCACGTCTGATGTGCAAAGCTGGAATCTTGGATAGTTTCACCAACGGAGTAGTCCTGAACTATCAAGGTGTGGGGGTCAAGCCCACCATCTACTTTTTCAAATCAAGGTCAAAGTGAGTCGCAGGAGCATCATTTTCCCCTAAGATCATGTTGATCAGTCTAGTTTATATCCTTTAAGCCGTTCTTTTCACGTGATGAACATGTGCTCCAATACTTGGCACAATTACGTGCATTCCGATTACGTGCACTTTTCTGCAGGTCATGAACCAGTTGATGGCGAGTAGTAGCTGGTGTTCTGTCATGGAGAAGAACAAGTTCTTGCAGGCCAGGATGACCAGTAGGCATGACAAGGCACAACTGAAACAAACCAAAGAGCCATAGCTTTCAACTGACTGAGCTTGACCATCAAGCGGCAATGAATTTTTTTCAAACCAACTGCATCAGGTGTCTCTGTGAACTGTATCATAACAGATAAAACCAACAGACTTCCAACTTTGCACTCCCATTTACATTATGGCTGGCCAATTCCCGTGTGTCGTTAATGCTTTTGTGACTCAGGATTGCTTAAGAGAGCTGCCCAAGGGCGCCCAAGCAGTTCTTGGACTACAAAGCGACAAGGCGCTTTTCATTTTCTGATGTTTCTCTTTTGATAAATTGGTGAGGTTCTTGACCGGGCTGCTGGCCTTGGCTGCTGGCCTTGACAGATCGGGTTTGACACAAAGTGCATTCCCTTGCATGGCATTCAGACTAAGTGCTATTGCTGCATACTTCGGGGACGAGTCTATTGGCCTAACCTTATATTCTCAGTATGGGGAGCGATTTGCCAGTCCAATCGCGCCAGCCTAGACCCAGCTAGCTCCGGAAACTCTCTCCTAGATCTCGTAGAGCTCCTAGCCTCACTTCTTTGGATTTGTCCAGTGTTTGTGCTCAACGAGCTGGACGAGCTTTTTTGGCTTCAACATCTGCTTGTATGAGTGGAGGTCCTTGCCTTGATCGACGAGGATGCAAAGAGGCCCTGGAGCCGTCGTCGTCGAAGCACCGGTGGGACCTTGTTCAGTCAAGAACGGCGCGCCAGTCGTAATGGTAGAGAACGCCTGTGTCGTTGCGTCGAAATGCGTCGAACACGTGTACATACGCGTACCATCGTTGACCTCTTCATGTTTTTTCTTTTTTTCTCACAGCTGCATTTTTTTCCCACAGGATTTTATTCACAGTTGTCTCCGTGTTGGTGCTGATGTTTATCACTGATGAACATGGCTTTTTTGATTCTTCATGACACCTATTGCACAGCTGCAGGATGGCCAGAGGAGGTGACGTCCCTGCTGACCTTCGGACTGTTCACAGACCTAGTTGTTTAGAGTGTCCGCAGTCTTTGTGTGCATGACTTCACGACTTATGGTGATGTGATGAGGTTTGTTCGTTTCGCAGCTTCGGTGAGAAAAAGTGTACTCTCCCAACTTCCAAACAGGAAGATCTGCCAACTCCCCAGTCGAAACATCCACATGTTTTTTGCCATTTTCGCTGCTTGGCGCCATCAGCAAACCAAAAGGAGACGACACGGACCCTTCCACCGGACCCCACCGCCCCGGTTGACGATCCGTTCATGGACCTCGCACCAAAGCCGAAGGAATTGAGTAGTAACAGGTGCCTTACTAGTAGTAACAAGAAGCTAGTAGTAACAGGTGCCACGCTAGTAGTAACAGGTGCCTTACTAGTAGCAAGAAGAAGCTATTTGAATTAATCAATTTAAATTAACTAATAGCGTCCTTGCTCCTAGTAGCGATGCACTTGTTACTACTAGTAAGGCACTTGTTTCTACTAGCTTCTTGTTACTAGTGGCTCCGTCCCCGGAAGGAGTTGATCCTCCAAGATGTTGGCTCCGTATAGGGGTATTTCCACCCGTGGTGGGGCCCGCCCGGCTTTTCTTTTTTTTCAAGGTTTTGGTATTTTTGTGAACGTGAAAACCGTGTCGGACCGTGTCGTAACTTGCAGTACTTTAAGGTATCCTTCAGGGCCACTGGGGAGAACGTTGAGATTTCTCTCGTCATCTTTGGACAAAATTGTCATCGATGTTCAAAACATCGTCATCGGATGACCACAAAGTGAGTAAATTGGTAAGGGAAGGGGGTATCATCGGTTTTCGCAACATTGTCATCAGTTTTCACATCACATGCGAGACTCTCCTGCGTTCTTTGTGGACAACTTGGACCATTTAGCGGCCCTGGGTGAAGTGAACCGCCCGGCAGAGGGCAGAGCTTGGATGGAAGACTTGCGCTGGAATAACGCGTCAAGTTCTTGAACACGACTAAGCAGTTGAGGGGTTCGCAAAAATCATGCAAAGCCTAATCTCGTTCTCGTTGTAGTGAGTGCTCATGTTCAACTCTCCCCAATCAGGTTGAGGCATCAGTGACACCATTTGAAGAACAACCCAGAAACGCGAGTCAGGCTAAAGGTTGACAATGCATACGACATCTAGTACTGTAGACTCTTGATCAATAACCTTTGCCCGGTTGGATTGTAAAACCTCTTCAACAGGGTCTTTTTTATTGATCATGGCTCTACATGAAGTATCCGAAAACCAAACCTCACGGCCGCCCCTGAGCCTTTAGACGCCCGTAGTTAGCTCAAGAGGCTGGGACTCCCTTGAGCTCCAAATCTCCCTTGAGCTGTGTACGGCGACAAACCATTTCCACTAGGACATCCGATATCCAAAACTCCTCGGCCCTTCCACAGTGCGAAGAATGCAAAGCATTCAGGTTGCGGAAAGAATGCAAAGCATTCGTGGCCCGCGGAAGCCAGCGACGGGCGGCTATACCGTGGGAATCCCAAGACCGGGTCTTTCCAGGATAGCTGCGAAGCTGGGAATGACGTTTGAACGCCATTTTGCTCTGGAAGACATGTGGAAAGCAGTGGAAACCAGGTCAAGACCTGGTCAAGACTGGTGAAGACCTAGTTTGCATGTTTGTTTATTGAACCTTCTGTTCTTCTTCTGTTCTTCAAGCCTAGCTTAGACATTGCAGGACATCTAGACTTGCCTGAGGCCGGGAAAGTCGAGCCTGAGAAATGGAAGGCGGGGGACTGTGAAGCTGTGCCCCTCGTGAGAAGCCACTAGGGCATGTGCAACAAAGGCCATCAAGCACTTGGGCTCGGGCCTCATTTAACTCCTTGCTTGCTCTGACTCTCTTCTTTGGTGGGCTTTGTCCTCCAAAATGCTCCAAGTGGCATCATCCAATGATCGAGTTGGTCACCGGAAACTGACCCGCAGTTGAAAGAAACCAAGGTCCTTTTTGGTGACTTTCCAACTCCACGAGAACAACAGAATGGCGCTTTTGAAGTTATGGAACCACCAAAATCTTCCAAAGGTGACACTCTGGTCGGCGAGGCCTTCATGTCTTCGGGTGACGGTCCGAAGATGTCCGAACGACGGCCTGAGATTGTCCGAACGTCGGGGGCGGGACTGTAGAACCGCCAGGCCATCAAGACGCCGGAGGGGCACACCTACTACTACAACTCCAGGCGGTTTGTCCGACCACGTAGGGCTGGTCCAAATATGAACGTTATAGAGTTGGAGTATTGCTGAATCAGGAGCCTTTCGGAGAATGAGAGGTTGAGTCAAAGGTAGATCTGGAAGAATGACGAAGAGTGGCGTGAAGGACCATGACGCGGATGTATTACTTAAGCTGTGCCGAAGGCTTTCCAAGACCCATGAGACTCACGCGCATTCAACGATGAATTTTAGCAATGCGCAAAGGACATTGACAAATGATCCATGAATATGTCTAGACCACACAGACTTCCGTCACGTAGTCAACGTACTCTCACCACCACATCTCATCGATTTTCAACAACCCACTCCACAACAACCGTTGATTTACTGTAATGGTTCTCACCGCACAACCATGGTTTTACTAAGCATTTGAGACTACCAGTCCAACCTTTAATGTTTTTTTCTGAATGCTGGGGTCCATCTTCAAGACATCTCACCACAACTCAGTCACGACTCGTCATGAGACCTTCATGTCATGCTGAGTCCTTGAGTCCTTGAGACCTTCGCGTGCCCGAAATCCATCGGAACTCCCATGCAACTTCCTGGCGCCACGAACGCCGCATGTCCTCATGGCGTTCGTTCAACCAAAACCGCCTTCGGGGAGCGGGCCCTCTGGCGTTGACGAAGGCGAACAGACCAAACAGCTAGGTGCTTAATGGAATTTAATGGAGGTTAGGGGTGCCCATTCTCCACTCACTCAGGGACTAAACCCCACCCCCTTTGTGACTGCTGGAGGAGACACATGTTCTTTTTCCCATGTGTTCCAACCCAAAACCGAAGAAGAGCTCGAGTGCCGACTCCTTCCGAGCTCCTTCCGAGCTCGAGTGCCTGACTCCTTCCGAGCTCGAGTGCCGACTCCTGGTTCCGACTCCTGAGGAGTCGTGAATCCACTTGGGAACGTCCTGCCGAGCTGGGAGGGCCCATGGTGCGCCCGGCCAGTCTTGGCCGGCGCGGGAAGCGACGGGCGCGACCGTGTCGGAACTGACGGTGACTGGAACGGACGGCTGGGGGTGAAATGACTGTGGTGAGGTGTGCAGAACAGATGGCTGGACCTCGGAACTCTCGGAACTGGTTCTTTTTGGACCTGTGGAGAAGGTGGAGAGTGGCGACTCGTGTTGGGAGCGTGGATTTGGTGGCAGATTGCTTTCATGCTGAAGGGATCGGAAGGCCTTGCTGGCACATAAAGCCACAGGCACATGTTGGAGAATAGATGAGAATAGGAATCAGATTCCTCAGGGTATTGGACCATATGCTTTTCGTGCTATCCGACAGGTCTACCGATCTGGTGATGAGGTGGAAGTGTGGAGCAACGGCATGCGCTCGTGAGCTTCTCAGGTTCGAACATGGAGCGCAGGTTGCCAACTGCCAACTCTTGGATGAACTTTCGCACATTTTTAGGATAAAGTCTGATACTGGATGCAGCACTTGTTTCTTGACTTGAGTGCTTTTGTTCATCTTGCTCTGGCTTTGTTTGCGAAGGCACAACGGCACATCTGTTGTTTGCCTCCCTGAGCTCCCCAAGCTCTGCCAGCTCCGCCCAGGTGGTGCAAGGGAAAGGTATATCAGGCCGCAAGACCTTCTTTGATCCACGCAGCATCCACGCGACGCGGGAAGCCGATGCGTTGGAGCGGGCGTGTGGAGCAAGCACAAGTAGTATTGGCAGCAGGCTCTTCTCAGGTCGTTTCTTTAACACCATTCGGTGTTGGACTCATTTGACCGTCGTTCTTTTCCCTCTTCAGAGTGCCTCTTCAGAGAGCCCTTTCTTTTCCTGCAACATGTGGGGCGAGCAGGGCCTCAGCTCAGCTCTACCTGACAAGAGGCTGTAGACAGACATGTCTAGATTCACCAAACCTACCTAGTCTAGACACCTTGAACTCTAGAACACCTTGAACAACCACTGGGGTCTTCAATAGTATATAGACTATTACACATTACTTTGGATCTCCATTGAGGACTTTGAAGGTCCAGGTAGGGCTCGGGCTTTCAATGCGACCACGCTGACTCACAGCTGACTCTGCGCGCAGGTGGCCGATGGCAAGGTGATCGCTGACTTTGCTCTGCCTGATGGAAGCAATGCACGTAAGGCGCATGGCACAGCATGGCACATCTGGGAGACCGCAATGCACTGGCAGAAGAGACACTTGGATTCCCCCAGGTAGTTCTCTCGTGTGTTTTGATCGCAGCACCGAGGGTGACAACAGGGAACAGGCACACCCAAGAGACGGCAATCCACACTGCACCCAAGCGGCACAGGCAGCACGCCCAGCCTGCACCCAACGTACACTTACCAAACCAACAGATGTTGTTTCTTTCTCTGGAAGGACTCATAAAGTGGAACACACACACACGCACTGCGATTATTAAATTCCCTGCAGTGCAAGGGAGTTTGTGCCCCAGGAAGGAAACGAATCAGGGATGATTTCAATTCATTTCCAGGATTTCACGGATCTCTCATGTAAGAAAACTCGAAGAAAGATGATTGCCGCTTGCCTGTGTCCTTAGAGCCTTAGTTTGTGAAAGATGCTTGCCATGGCAACGCGCAAAAACCACCGGCGCAAAAACCACCGCCGGCACGCCTTTGCAACTCGGCCAGGAGTTGCCTTCTCAGCACAAGGATCTACGACCCCTGGTGGCGAGGTCTGACTGGTCAGCAGAGGAGAAGGACCCGGGGCACGCGGGGCAACGCGGTGCAAACGGACGCCCCGGTTTCCCTGGTAACCGGAGTGGATGACTTCCTCAGGCCAGGGAGTGCGATGGGTTAGCTTAAATAGCTCGCTTGCTACGCGTTTTTTGTTATGGAATTCTATGATGGCGTCACATGGAAAGGATGGTTCTTTTGTCGTCAGGTGATATCCAAGGGCTTGTAGTCGATGGAAACAGAGAAATTGTGAATGGCTCGTTTGGTTGCGACTGGGAATGGATATGCAGCGGAACTGCAGGAAGCCTACCAGCGGTGGTTCAATGGGATTGAAGGAGGTGTGATGCTGATTTTGCACGGAAAGTTGTAAGATGGACATTAAAAAGATTCATCGAAGTGCTCTCCAGTTTCAATCCCCAACACACCTGCTTTCCAAGACATCCGGGCCAATTTTGTGTCAATGATCAGGCCTAGAGTGCAAAAGACTTCAAGCGAAACGCCATGTTTTGCCATGCATGGCTGCTTTGGCTTCGCTGTGCTGTGCTGTCGAGGCTCCTCAAGCACGAAGCATGCGAAACCCATTTCGCAGTTTCTGTGGAAGTCACAACTGCCCAGAGAAGCGCTGAAGCAGGTGTCGACATGGCGGTGACGATGGTGACGATGCTTTGTTTTCTGTTTTCTCTTCCGGTGTGTTCTGTTGGGCAAAAAGAAAGTTGGCTGTTGTTGTTGTTGTTGTTGGAACAATACTTGGCTGGACGAGACAGACATGTTCATGTCATGCCTGTTTGGCTTGGAGGCTTGGAGACATTGAACTTTTTCAAGGGAGCTTCGTCAAAAACGGGTGCATCAGATTCAACGCATTTGTGGGTCTTCTTTGTGAAGACGCTATTCACAGAACTCCCCTACCGCTGAGCTGAGCTGCCGTCTCGTCTCGTCTGCCCTTCTCGTCCTTGACAGGTCTGGGCTGTAGGCAATTCTGGGATGAAGCCCAATCTCAAATTCGAGGACTTTTGGGGCAGCAGCTTTGAACTTTTTTGCATTTCACAGTTCTTTTTTATTCTTTTTTGCTGTTTGTTTTAGGCCCTTGAACAACCTATTGCAGCCTGCGAACCTAAACCTATAGTCACAATCTCAAAATTAGACGAGGAATCAACGAGATGCTACACGAGATTTTCAAGAGTAACAAGGAGATGCAAGGCTGCAAAGACCATGAAGCGAAAGATGAACGGATCATAACTTTGAGACCTTGGAAACCCAACAAGCTGAAATCGTGTCTAAAATCGTCTAAAAAATCGTACGGTTTTCAACTGAGTCATATTTCAGACGTATTTCAGACGTATGATTTCCAATTGCATTGGTACGGGTTGCATTTTACTGCCTCCATTTGCTTGCAAGTTGTGAGGGAAGGAGTTGGATACCCGCCAGGGACCTGCCCTACTTTTCAGTTGGCTTCCAGACACTGAAACTCACAGGATCCCCATCTCTGTCCAACACGTGCGCATTTTGCACGTGAGATGGGGATCCGGAGACAAGAAGTAGTTTGCACCTTTATGAAGACTCGTGCCATGTATTCTTTCTTCTCATGCCCCGTTCGTAGCGTCCTTGCTCCTAGTAGTAAGGCCAGGAGCCCCTAGTAGCGTCCTTGCTTGGAAGGGTGATCATGGAGAACCTCTGGGAATTTTCACTTGGGAAGGACTTCGCCAAGTGCTGCCGTCTCATCGCACACTGCCAAGCAATGGATCCCGCCTTTGTCTGCGGCCCAGAAGAACTGGAACGGTTGTGGCTTCTCACCACGGCACCTGAGCAAGAGAAACAGCCAGTCCAACGGGCTTGTTTTTGCAGGCAGAGCCCAGTCTCATGTTCTAGTCGTATGTCTTGTTGCAAAAAGAGGACATGAAATCATGAAACCAATTTGAAATAAAAGGGTATTCAATCGTCGGGTTCAATTGTATGCTTTCCTCATCAAAGTCCTAGAGGTTGAAGACCAGAGAGGATTTTGTGACACCGCCACCGAACTCCGAACGTTCCGCGGTGTTCCGCGGTGTTCCGTGGTGTTCCGTGGTGTGTTCCATGGTGTTCCCGGGTCGAGCCCAATGTGTTCGCGATGGATGTCCATGAGCTTCAGGGATTTTTGTGTCAGAGAACTTCAAGGAAGCCAAGAACTGTTGCATTGGCTCTTCCAATGTACAGATCTCCTGGACGCCGAGACCGGCCCCGCACATCCCGTCGTGACCGGTCACGCGGGAGCCCCGCGCGAGACCCGCGGGACCGGCGTTCTTTCGAGGTCAAGGAGGGCGAGCGACCCCTGCGGGTGAAGTTGCGCAGCGAGTGCGTCAACGCCAAGCTGCGCGGCTTAGACTCGGGATGAGCTGGGTCGGACCTTGGTGGGACGGGTCTGGCAACGGATCAGACTTACTTGAGTGGGCAACGGATGGGGGTGCAAACTTCGTGGGCGAGGAGTGGAAAGACTGAGTGCTGGGTTAGGTTTTTTCGTTTTTTCTAGGCCAGCATCTTTTGCAGTGAGGACATGTCACTGAACGAGCATATGTTCTATTCCCGACCCAGTTTGTTGCCATTCCGACATCCAGAAGAACTCAGAGGGGCTTGTTCCTCATGTCCCTTGAACGGTTCCCTTTTGGTCGGACAGATCCCACTGGCTGCTTGGCTGTCCGGTTTGGGCCATGCTTCGGCACCGGGCGTTGACCGTACCGTCTGCGGGGGCGTTGACCGGGCGCCAACGGAGGCCTCCTGCCTTGCCGAAGTTTGAGCTGTGAGTCCTGGACTATACCGAAAAAGGCCCCTCCGATCGGTACCCGAAGGGGGGGCCCCTCCGATCGGTACCAAAGGACTGGCGGACTGGTGGCGTGGCGGACTGGATGCCATTGCTTGAGTTGATGGCTGAGCTGTGCTGAGCTGTGTGAAACGTGCTGTGGACTCTTCTCACGAAAGAAACACATTTGTATGTTTATCACAGGAAGCGATTTTGTAAACAAGAAGCTACTAGTAACAAAAGCACCGCTACTAGTAACAAGGACCAGGGCATCGCTGCTAGCAACAAAGGGCATTACTACTAGTAGCAACTAGCTACTAGTAGCTAGAAACTAGTAGGTTGGAGGCAGAATTTCTGTTGCAGTTGAAGACAACAAGTGGTCATTTGGCATAGCTTAGCTCCACAGCTTAGCTCCACTTCGCCACCAAACTGGACTGGCCGGCCACAGGGCTTGCTGACCGGCCTTTGTACAAAGCCGCGCGGCTTGGCCAAGCCGACTGAGCCGCTGCGTGAACCGGCGACCAAACGCCGTGGTTTGACGTGGTGAGGAAAGGTCAGTTCGAAGCAAATTGGGTGTGGAAAGGCAAGGGAGTGTGGGAGACTCCAAGAGGATTCTGAGTCATTCTGAAGTGTAATTCTCAAGCGGTTTGGCCGGCAAAGCAGTTCCACGGTTTCGAGAAATGGGTGCCATTCTCATTGAAGGAAACTCGTCCAAGGAAAATAGCTTCTCGGATGGTCTGAGTTGGCTGTTTGTTTTGTTTTGTTGTTCAGCAAACCTATTCCCTGGGTAGAATAACATTGTTTGTCCGCATGCAAGTCCTGGAAATGCGAGAAGCACTGTGCACGCCGCACGCCGTGCTGGGTATGCATCGAGGGGAGGGGAAGTTTAACGATTGAGATTGTGCAGGGTTGTAAACACATGCCGTGACACTTTCAGAACAACCTTTGCTATGGGTGCTTTGTGAACCTGTGGGAGCTCCCCCTTGATCCATTTGACCATTTTCTGAGCTCCTACAAAGAGATCGAACAGAAGGGGCTCCGCACCGGAATGGAGCCCATCGTGACGCAACCAAAAACCAAACACTGCAGCAAACGATTTGCCAGTGGGAGAGACGAGGAACATCAAGCTGGAGACGACTCATATTCGCACATTCTCATCTGCAGTTAATTCGGCCCAGGGCAATATCGCAAACAATGGCAAAGCGATCATGAGTGAGACTGCATTTCCACAGAACTGGAAAAAGGCAGTCTTCAAGTTCTTTGGCGACTCTAGTTGGACAGTCAAAGTAGCTGAGCATGCTGTGTTGACGCGTTGACTTGTTTGTTTTCCAATAGAAGTCAACCTCAAGAAATGGCACTGCTACACAATCTACCAATGCCGTGTATTACTGACCTTATCACGCAAGATCAGGCAATTCTGATTTAGACATAGACATCTTCAGAACTCTTAGCCGCCTGAATTCAACTTGCACAGCTTCGCTGGTCGTGGTCAATGGCTGCAGTGGGGCTTTCGTCCACGCTCAACACGCCAGTCACACCGGCCGCGGCCGCTGCCTTCGACTTGTTGAGACCTTCCCCTTTAGCTCGAACCGCCCCAGCTGCACCCAGTCCACCTGGAGCGCCAACACCCGGCGGGTGTGCCGGCGCCAGGGATGATCAGATCTTAGGGAAGATCTTGTCCAAAGGACCAGCACCTGGGCCACCAGGGCTGCCAGGGCCACCGAGGCCAGCGCCAGCGCCAGCTCCGGCAGCACCGGCAGCTCCGGCATCTCCAGCAGCTGCGGCAGCTTTGGCCACTTTGGGAGCCACACCGGCTGTTAACCCCCCACCCTTGAGACCACCTCCAGCTCCTTCTCCAGCTGCAGCTCCCTCGCGACCGGCGCCTCCTGGATTGGACCTAGATGCCAAAGTGGTCAGAAACTCAGCCTCGGTCGGAGACTGGGAGGATTCCCCTTTTTGGAGCTTAAAAAGGCATTCGTTTCTTTTTCCACGGTCAAGTCGCGGTCGCGGGTAGATGAGACAGAAAGAATATGTACCTTGCAATCAAAGCCTTTGCAGCCGCTTTGGAAGGAACTTGGGCAGCATTGTGAAAGCTGAATCAGATGGCTATTGAAAGAGACTGTCCGGCCCGCATTCCGCTTCCAGGTGGGAAACCTCATAGCTGCCTCGCCCAAGGCGCACCAGGCAGGGCCGACGTCCGTCCGGCACGGTTTTTTGGCAAGGCGAGGCTCGTGCGGTGCAGAGGTGCAGCGTCACGGTCCTTCCTACAGCTGCAAAAATGGTTGCGATAAGTCAAAAAGATCGGTTGCTTTGAGCGTTGCTTTGAGCATTGTGAAAGAACATGAGAGAACATGAGAGAACATGAGAGAACAACAATTCTCGATTGAAGAGATCCAATGATGGGCTTCGGTTGCTTCATGGTGGTCCCTGATCGCTTGCTTGGGATTTGTCCCTTTTGAAGGACCCGAGCGTTTCCCGTGACGCGGGAGTCTTGGACAGTTTCTTGCGGAAGGCGCGCGTTAAACAGCTCAAACGTCAGGGACATGTTGTACGATTGTATGAGTGACACAAGAACCAGTCACTATCCAGTCATTAGGCAGTGTGTGGCTTCCCCAAATACATCCAAACACCAATGAGTGCCTTCGAACAGCGGCGATCTTGGTAGGTCCGTTCACTCTGTTTTCCTTCACATTGCATGCAAATCTCGAAGCAAAGCAGGTAGATGTGGGAAAAACTGAGGAACTCTCCCCCCTCCGGGCCCATCCGGGTCCCCGCACCCTCGCGCCCTCGCGCCGCAGCATGCTCCCGGTCCAGAAGCCTTCGTCCGACGGAAGCGGGGGCTGCCCGGACTCGCCGCTGTCGTGGCGATGGAGATCTCGCCGGTGGAACAACGACGGGACAGCAACGACGGGACAGCAACGACTGTTTTTCGGTGGGGGATAAAGGGCGCAGACACCGGCGCAGACACCTAGCAGATCTGATCTTGGAGCGAGTTCGATGATTTTATTGTTCCAAAAGAGGACGCAGTTTCCACGAATGAGCTTCCCCAAGCAGCTGTGGAGAAGGGAACCAGGGGGTATGTTGGCATCCTCATTGTAGCCTATGTTTCAAAAGGCCTTGGACTTTTCCCTGAATTCAAGATTCGTTTCACCCCGAGCCCTTCACTGCTGTCCGCTGCCTGAGAACCCCGAGTGAGGCCAGCGCCTCTGACGAACCTGGACACGCCAACGGTGCTTGGCCTCGGAGCCGAGGAGCTTGATCAGCTCCATGCCGCTGTTGGGGGCGTTTTTTTGATTCTGACCTGCAAAGAGGGGTTTCTCTGAGATGGTAGGCGGTAGGCGATCGAGCGCCCAAAACGATATTGATGGGGGTTGACATGTTGAAAACCAGATTGGCACTGTTCGATCCCTAGTCCATGTGCTTTTCAGCTCGGGGATGATCCATGAAACTCAGTGGGACTCAGGACTTAGTCAAACCTGGACCCTCCACTTTGACATTGAACTGCTCATCCGTCTCTTCGGTTGCCACCGATTCGCACCACCAGTCCGTTGGTCGTCGACTTGCTCGGTCGACAAGTCGACCATGGCCAATGCATGGCTGAAGTCGCAAGAGATGGAGATGAGTCCAATACCTTTAGATGGAATAGACTTCAGGTGACCCGCAAAAGGATCAAAAGGAATATCATTTACTTAGAGTTGATCCCCAGAATGGCTCTTGGACTTCTAGGGTAGAGTAGATGGCTGAAACCTACAGGCCACTTTGCACAAGGATCCAACAACCCGCCCTGGGGATCTGTGCCATGTCGTGAGGCTTAGGATTGGGGCCTTGAAGCAATGCTCTTGCCTTTTCTTTTTCGCCAGTACTGTGGCCTTGAGGCTCATCAGTTGGTCAAATGGAGATTCAAGTCTTTCATGGTGTGTCTTTGATGCAGAGCGGAATGCCAACCTGTTATGCGGCCAAGGGCATGTTCGCATGTTTTTGAGCCGACAGAAGGAGTTGATCAAATCTGCAACAACAAAGAGTATACGTCTAAGCCAGGCAAAGGCTTGGATTGTCAGGAGGGATACCAATGTACCTCACAAGACACTGCCTTGCAAAATCACTCAGCACTTGCATGAACAAGTCGCTTTGACTTTGAACTGATGGTAGGGTCATGCCTCTTAGTCCTTCCTTAAACGATGGGAGCAGGCGGGGCATCCATTCGGGCGAGCCAAATGGGTCCTGTTCGGAGCGTTGCCGCGTCGTTCTGCCCGATGTGGCGGCGAGACAATGCGAGGCATTAGATCCAAGCACGGCCCAAGGATGCTTTCGCAAAAGCAAGGACTTTGAAGCTGACTTCTTAGAAGCGAAGTGATTTGAAGTGCTTTGAAGATGAGGCCAAGAAAGATTTTCTTGCCCGTTCAGAGTACTTCACAGTACTTAAGATCACTGCGTTTTGTGAAGCAGTGTTTTCGAACCATTCAGGGCTCCTTGCCAAGAGCCTGAAACCTCGGAAGGGAAATAGATTGGTCTATTGACCAGGGGGTCGCCATAGAAATACTCACCGCTCTTGGGACTCTTGGGCAATGCCTTTCCTTCGAGACATCACGCCAGACGAAAAACACCTGACGAAAGTGTTCTCTCGTCACCCCACACGTCATGGGGCAGGGGCAGCAAGCTTGCCCCGACGTCGGCGATCAACACCATGTGTGTTGTGGAGTGAAATAGGGAGACCTCCCCAAAACCCCCTGGAAGAAGAGAAATAGACCAAAAGACCAAAATCCATTGGTTGGGTGTCTCCCTATTAAAATACACACCCATGTGTGCTTTTCATCCACAGACGGGGCGCATGGTAATTTTTGCAACACCTTTAAGGTGAGAGGGTGATCCTTTCGGGTCACGGGTTCCCCCAAGGAAGTGTTCGTCTTGGTGTCCCGGTTCATCCTCCTAGATGGCATGACCCAACAGCTTTTCAGTTTTTTTTGGGACCGTTTCTTGAAAAAAGACCATCAACAAGTCCCACACATGTCACCTCGCATGTTTGCCCAAGAGCGACCGGCTCTTGGCTCTTGCACCATTTGCTGCCCCAAACCAAGGCACCCGGGCTCCCCCTTTTTCTCACCATGTGTTCGGCACAGAACATTGGTAAGTAATTTTTTTAATTATGTGTGTGTTTTTTTCCCAATATCTTTCTTGTCTAATTTTCGAAAAACATAAGATGAACGAGATATCACCCTTGATTTTTGAGATAATGGATTTCCATAAGTAAAATCAAAGGGTTAATAATAACAGCTTTAGAATGCTGAGGATTTTTACAGGAACAAGTCCCACATCAAGAACCTTTCGCGGGGTGATCCATTTCTCGCATGCAGGCGCCTCGGCTGCAGATGGGCGGCTCTTCTGCCATAGCTGTGGAGCGCGCACTGCTGGGGACACCCAGGTGGACTCAGGTGGACCGCTCTCGTCCGCGCGTCCCGAGCCCCCGCCCCTTCTTCCGTCTCTCGACGTCGAGCCGGAGCCCAAAAGGCGTTGGTTGTTCGGCGTCCGAATGGGTTTCGAAGTGCATGAGCCCCGGCGGCGCCGATGTTCTGCGGCAGGCGGGGACTGGAGGGGGGTGATGGGAGTTTTTCACTCTATCCAAGAGAGGTTTTTTTGGAGACCACCTTCGGACCCTGGTCTGTGGTACATATATGTACATATGGGATGGGCTATAAGAACCAAAACCTCTCTTGGTGAAACCGATCTCAGAGGTCCGATCTCGGTCCCATGCAGGAGACTCGTCTCATGGTGGGGAACTGGTTCATCCAATGGGCGGTTCCAGAGCTGATCCGAGGGGGTTCCAAACAATACCGAAAGAGGTGACAAAGTTGTATATATGTCTTTTTCCATCATTTGATCGCTGCGCATTCATTTTTGCTCCCGTTCAGATTTGAAGACCAAAGATAGAAGAAGGTGTCAAGTATGTATGCCAAAGTTCAGTCCGGAGCAATTTGTTCCCTGAGGCGATTCTCGATGGAGTGGAATGCCCATGTGCCTGGGCCAATGAATGCACGACATGAACGGCCAGAATCAACATCAACAGAAATCACAAACAAAATCAGCTAGACACTTTTTTCTGCGAACTGGTGAATACAACAAGCAGCGGCGCACGAATTTGTGGTTGATCTTCCACCTTGCATGGCTTCTTAAGCAGATACTTTTCCTGTGGGCTTGGAGAATATCAAGTTTCTTGAAACGCTTTGGGTATAAAGCCCAGGATTTGCTTTTGATTGTCAAGCCCAAGTGCTGTCCTTTTCTTCATTCTTTTTCATATTTTTGGGTGCTCACCAGGCCGTATGTAACCGTCCACCATGTCATTTTCGGACTTCGCACCCCGTGCTACCGCGGGGAGTACGCGCCCGTGGAAGCCCTTGAAATTCGAGGCTGTACTGTCTGTGGGGCAACCGACAGCGTGGAAGTTACAGATGTGAGGGCCTTGAGGACCTTAGATATTTTTTGGACATCGATGTCGCAGATGGGGGACATTGAGAGATCGAGTCAGCCAAAAGGGATTTCCTCTACTTTGTGCTGTGGGCAGGGCAACAAGGAGGCTTCAAGGAGGCTTCGCTGTACCAAATTTGAACTGCCAAATATGTCCCATGTATTCCTGCTTGTTTTGCGTGTTCCTCAAACTAGGAGTATCCATGCGAAGAAGCATGTTGACATGACAAATGGACAGAAACATATTGACAGAAGCATATTGACATACACAAAAGCTTCTCTTGAACAAACAGTGGAACCCAGGAAAGTCCCTCGAAGGCCACAGCATCATGGGATGATTTCTGGGGTTTGCAGCAGGCAATCCACTCCATTTGCCAACAAACAGAAGCTAGATAGGTGCATATTGAGATGGACAGTTGAGGATCCCTCCAGAAATCATGTTATGAAACACATTCATGAGCAACAAAAACTCTTCTCTTCCTTCTCTTGCTTCTTCAAGTTGTTCTTTTTCTTCTCGGGTGGTGAGATCCGTCGAATTCACCTCCATCACCTCCACGCACCGAGCTGCTGTGCCCCGAGGCCCGCCTGCCGGTCACGTCTCCCACGAGCGCCATGCGCGCGCTCTCACGTGCGAGCGCCCGACGCCGGTTGACCGTGCCGGCCGGTGCCGGTCGGCACGTGGTTCTGGTTTTTGGTCTTTTGGGCCTCTGACAGGGTCACGGGGTTCTTCATGAAAAAAACAAAGAAACATAGAAAGGGCTGATTGAGCAAGATTGAGCAAAATACCTTGGCCCAAGCTCTGATAGCTGAGGTGCTACAGATCGCAGAAGAGTCGGTGAGTAGGCTGTTTCTTTTGATGCTTGTAACTAAGATCTGGCGCAAGCGACTTGGGCATGGCGTTTGAAGTCTATTGAATCCCAAATTCCCAAATCATGACTTTGGCTTAGATGGCCATGATTCCATTCCTAGGTGCTTCGTTGCCCAGTGCGCCGGCTCAACGTGCGGCAACGTCCATGCGGGTGGAGTGGGGGCACTTGGGCGTATGGTCCATGAAGGGACTTTCTGCTGACAAAGACGAGTTTGTCATGAGCCCGTCTCAAAGTCTTCTGTATCTCAATCACTTTTCAGAAAGTGATCCTGCAGCTACTTTCGCACAGTGAGAGAAGGTTTCCAGGTTGAGGTTTCACTAGTTTCATGACCGGAACACCAAGAATCAGCAACTAAAACACATATACTAAAACATACTACAACTATTTAGAGCTTTTCGACACACCTTCGCAGAAAAAACCGCCACCCGCCGGAGGACACCTTCGGGTGGACTCCCAGATGCCCCCACCCACCGCTGCACGCGCACTGCGCAGCGCCTGCGGACCACTCAGGTCGGTGACCGTGGTGGCCCTCGAGCGACCCGAGGACTGGACCCACCCCGTTGGGACTCAGGTCGGTGGCGACTGGTTGTAGGCGACCTGCAGGTAAAAAGGGACCGTTGTTAAGCGGAGGGTTCAAGCAGTGGAAATCGAGAACGTCGAAGAAGTGCAGGTGTTTTCTGCAGCTTCTGAGTTCTTGCAGCCAGGATGGCGGCCTCTTGCTGCGCGTGCTGCCCAATGCGGTGGCTCGACCTCGAGACAGTGAGCCAGGCGCATTTCGTCCTCGGTTTCGTCGCATTTCGTCGGTCGTTCCGAAGACATCACGCCCAAGGGCCCGAACATTTTGATCGTCACATGGTGGTCGCAATAAACTGTCAAGGCACCTGCTTTCGATTGCTTTCGCT